ATTGTTGTTTGGTGGGCCCGGGCTGGGGATTCGAACCCGCCACCTTAGGTGTATGTGGCTGGCGCCTTAGCCGCTTGAGCCACAGGCGCTGAGCTTCTGATTGTGTTTTGAAGGAGTGCGAATTGCTCACCTTTGCTGCAAGGAGCATTGTACTCAGCAATTGCAAACTCATCTGAAAAACAAACAGAAATCATTACATGAAATGACAGGGAAAACAAACATCTGTTGGATACAGGTCAACGAGGGAATCTTTAATGTAGGAAGAATCATACTTTATCAGACAGGTCAGCACCATTTTTTGATGCACTGCTTACGGCCTTATTTTATTCTTTCAACCAAAGTATATTTTACCCTAAACTTTTGAAGGGCACTTCAGATATTCTACTTAATCTTATATTGTTCTATAAGACTAAGAACATTGATATGTTCTTAGATATAGAAGAATCTTCTTCTTCTTAGAAGATTAAGTACTTCAGATATTATACTTAATCTTATATTGTTCTATAAAATTAAGAACATTGCTATTGTTCCAAAGCAATATAAGTTGCTTTGTCTGATGAACAGGGAACTTAAATATCCTACAGATGCTTTGTATTAGTAGTTGATAGATTTATAATGTGGAGAGTTTCTACAATGCACGTACAAAAGACAAGAAGAGGAGAATCAAGTTTGATGGAGACAAAATAAAGTGATCAGAGCAATTAATGTAACAAATTGCCCCAACACACCCCTCAGATCTAGATTTCTGGGATTAGGGATTTAATTTCTATGTGAGAATTGCATCACTCACACTCACCTGTCTCATAGTAATCATAGACTTTCACTATGGCTGGTTTCAGATCTCTTACTGGAATATCTTGTAGAACTGTGAAGGATAAGCTTATTGTCTGATTTGACACCTAGAAAGCAAAAGGGAATTAAATGACCTTCTGGGAACCTTTCCTTTTCTCTTTGAATAAGTTTAATCATCTACTGTTGGGGAAAGGAAATTGGCAACCAATAGTACACTATAGGATCCTTAAATTGCAAAGAAATCCCTCAGGGTAGATGAGAAATTCTCCAAATTATTTCCTCTTCCTCTTCTTCTTCTTCTTCTTTTTTATTTTTTTAGAAATGAGGTCTTGCTATGTTGCCTAGGTGTGTCTCAAACTCCTGGTTCAAGAAATCCTCTTGCTTCAGCTTCCTGAGTCTAATTCGGAAATAACTAACATAACTCATACCTCCATCGATGCCAGCACATGCCTCTGTTCATAAATGATGTATGATTTTTATTGAATGACTAGCTATGTCCATTTTTAAATAACCAGAGATTTGGTACAGTTTCACCTTTTGTCTTTCAGAAATACTTGTGTAGACTCAAGGAGTTATCTAAAAGTTTGGTCACTGTAGCCTTGTTTAAGTTTTACAAAATTTGTAAACTATAATTACCATCAATAATAAACCATGCTACCACACATATCTATAAAACCAGACTGATTTATTGGTGGATTGATCTTATTATTTTACAATCCAAGCCCTCAGAGATACTGACAGTACTTTGCATTTTATATTATTGATGGGGATGTTAGTGGAATAATTGACTAATAACAATGGTTACTTTGCTACATCACTCAGCATTTTCAAAATAATTTGTGGATTCAATGAACACATTATGTGAAAAATTTCTTGCTTATAGGGTTCTAGAAATGTTCTTATCCCACTATTAGAACATTTCCGCTCATGATCCCAGGTGAAATATAAATAAAAGAGAGGAGGACATTTGCTGGAATTAATATTAGAATCTTCAAATTTCTGGCATGAAAGTGATGTTTCTAAAATGGATTCTCACTTCCAAAAGCTCTCATAAGAGTGATTATTATCTATATATTTTTTGCAACTAGACTGGCAGGTCTCTTACCTTATCCAGGTAAATCAAGACATGGTTGTTGCTAACTTCTGTCCGGCTCACATGGTTAGATCTTTCAAGCTGAAGAAAATGAAGACATCATAAATGTTAACAAACAGATGAGACACCTGGAGTATTCAGAGAGAAAGGATTTTTTATTGCCAAAATAAGCCTGAGGGTAGAACTTATTCAAGTGCTTTTTGAAAAATAAAGACATAATATAGTAGAATGAAAAATGAAAGGTAATTTTGATAAAGAGTTTAATATTAGTATGAACATGATCTATGTGTAAAGTTGACTTATCCAAAGAAAAAGGAACTAAATATCTGAAACTTCAGAATTACTCATATTTCAGCATTCATTTCACAGTCTATTCCTTCATTATGAAGGAGATTTTTTTTCTTGTTTTTGTTGTCTCTAACTTAGAGTAATCTCATTTTGTCTCTCTTTTTTTTTTTTTTGAGACAGAGCCTCAAGCTGTCCCCCTGGGTAGAGTGCTGTGCCATCACAGCTCACAGCAACCTCCACCTCCTGGGCTCAAGCGAGTCTCCTGCCTCCACCTCCCGAGTAGCTAGGACCACAGGCGCCTGCCACTATGCCTGGTTATTTATTTATTTTTTTTGATTGCAGCCATCATTGTTGTTTGGTGGGCCAGGGCTAGATTCAAACCCGCCACCTTAGGTGTATGTGGCTGGTGCCTTAGCCACTTGAGCCACAGGTGCCGAGCCCTCATTTTGTCTCTTAACTTGTGTAATACTTAGAGTATATGTCATCGAGCATTTCCTGTTCAATGCTTTATCTTGTTGATGAGAGTCTAAGCTCCATGAAAGCAGGAACCTGCTGACATTTTTTTTCTCCCTAGGACTCCTTGTTCCTAGAGAGTTCTGTGCACATGCTGGCACTCATATAAACACACTGAATTACATTTCTGAGTTGGAGAAAGTGTGAAGTGTTTGACAGAGGATGATTTAATAGCATTTTAATATTTGTATTTTCTTAGTCTAGGGATACATAAACTATGAAATAAAATAGAACATTCTGGACTTTTAATATACCTACCATTTTTACTGTTGGTTTCAGGGGAATGAAGCCAGATACCATTTTCACATCAGCAATTGCCATGTTGGAGGCAGGACGGCTTCCGGTGTAACTGAAGATCCAGGAGAGGAAGGAATTAGCGTTTTCTGTGTTACTAAATATTCTATTTTTCTATGTCCACATTAAGTACTCAGTAGGTCTCAAAGATACACACAAATCTCTCCAAATATTCTACCTTAGCTGTTTGGAAAATTGGCTGCGTAGAATTTCTAGAGAGCCTATTAAAAGCACAGAGACCAGCCCCTACTCTAGACCTGATGAATCAGAATTGCAAGTGTGTGTGTGTGATCGTGGGGGGTGGAGTGGAGGGCTGAGTATTTGTACTTTAAGAAAGCTCTACAAGTGATGCATGAGTTTGAGATTCTAATCTGTGCCAGTTATTTATTACATAAACTTTATCCTGATGATTTTCCTGAATAGTATCCCTAATGAAATTATTCTTGTGATAAGATATTTTTGTGAAAGCCTTGTAACTATGTGAATATTGCTGCATGTAAATGTATTTCCCCCCAAATTGATTACTGAGATTTATTTATTCCCAGCAGGAATCTAACTAAAGAGTTACCACTTTCTTTTTCTTTTCTTTTTTCTCTCTTTCTTTCTTTTTTTTGTTGAGACAGAGTCTCACTATGTTGCCCTCGGTTGAGTGCTGTGGTGTCACAGCTTGCAGCAACTTCAAACTCTTGGGCTTAAGTGATTCTGTTGCCTCAGCCTCCCAAGTAGCTGGTACTACAGGTGCCCATCACAATGCCCAGCTATTTTTTTTGTTATTGTTGTCATGTCATTGTTTAGTAGGCTCTGGCCTAGTTTAAACCCACTGGCCCCGGTGCATGTGGCCGGTGCTCTAGTCACTGAGCTAAGGTGCCGAGCCAAGAGTTACCACTTTCATGTATTCAGACTTTTTAAGAATTCTTGATCTCTGTCCTGAATAAAGCAAGAATATTACAGGATTTCATTACATTAGAAGGAATTCAGATCAGAGGCATGGGGTAATATTCCTCATTTAGTTGTTACTGAGGAGAATTAGTACACTTTAAATAATGATGTTGTGTAATAATAGATCCTGGAGGCAGCTGATGGACAACCACATCACTGAGAAGTTCTGTTGGGTTAGATTAAGATAATACATTGCTTTTTCAATAAATGTCATGTAAACATTTACTATTGGACTGCTTTACTTAATCAGGAGTTCCTGTAAGAAGATTGGTTATTTTTCTCAGAATTAGGTGTTACAGTTAGAAGTTCTTACCTGACATTCAGTGAGATCTGGAAGCTGGTGTGGGCTTTGGGTCCATTGCAAGTTTGGGGTAGAGTCTGTGCCTCTAAAGCAAATGGGAACTCTTCCTTTTCTGGGATAACATTGTATTTCAAGGCTGCCTATGGAACATTAAAGACAAAGTCTGTTGTTACTTGCCCTTCTCTAGAATTCCTCTCAACTTCTCTGGGTCTTTCTCTGACTTGCCTTACTATTTGCCAAGTCAGAACACAACAGTGAGAATAGGCAGTGTCCTCATCCGCCCAGGAGTCTCACCTGGAGGTAGACACACCCTTCTCCTGTCACTTTTGTGCTGTATTCCCCAGGCAGCTCTGGCAGTGAGGCCTGCTGTAGTAACAGCCGATTGTTGTTGTCCACTTGGAATTTGGTGGAAAATGCTCCTGAAGACTGGATGGTCACCTGGGCAGCCTGGCCAGTCCTGGTAAAAGTGGCTGCTCCATATTTGGACAAAGCTTGGAGAGCCACCACTGTGTCCTGGAGGGGATGAGCAAGATAACCCATTTTTTAGTATATAACCTTTTGAGGGCTGAGCTATCTTCCAGAGGCCCACATGAGCTGTCATAAAGAGGCTTTGATTTTCTATTTCTCTTACTATTTAAACATTGGAGCTCTAATTTGAAGATTGGTTATAATCTATGGATAGATGACACAACCATACCATTCTCCTATCTACCTTGAACTGTATGCCCTAGACATTTATTTTTACTTGTCAGGACACTGATTGTTTTCTTACTATAAATACATGTGGGATATGGAATGTGGAAAATATATGAGAATGGGAATCATCTATTGGCATCAACCATTTGCCTAAGATGTCTTTCTTTTTTTTTTTT